TTTAAGATCAAAGACTTTGGAGTTTTGAAGTACTTTCTGGGGCTGGAAATAGTCAGAAATGAGGAAGGTATTGTTGTGAATCAAAGGAAATACTACAGTGAATTACTTGAAGACACAGGCTACTATTAAGCTAAAGATACACAAACCCCTATCGACGTGAAAGTAAGGCATAGCTCCAGAGAAGGGACTCCAATTGATGATCCAAAGTGCTACAAAATGCTCATTGGAAGGGTACATTATCTTACCATCACTAGGCCAGATATTTGCTTTATAGTTCAGTAGTTGAGCCAGTTTCAAGGTAATCCTTTAGATTCACATATGCAGGCAGCATTGAGAGTATTGCGGTACTTGAAGAAGTCCCTAGGGAAAGGGATTATGTTCAGAAAAGACACAGATTATTCTGTTACAGGGTACAGTGATTCTAATTGGGCAGCCTGTCCTGACACAAGGAGGTCAATCACAAGGTTATGCACCTATTTTGGGAATTCACTCCTTACATGGAAGAGTAAGAAGCAAGCCACAGTTCCAAGATCCTCATCTGAGGCTGAATACAGGGCCTTAGCTCATATGGTCTGTGAAATTCAGTAGATGAAGGGTCTTTTGTCAAAACTTGATGTTAAAGTTTCAGTTCAAATCACAGTTTACTGTGATAACAGGTTAGTCATTCACATAGCTGAAAATCCTATTTTTCATAATAGAACTAAGCATATAGAAATAGATATGCATGGTACCTGGGAAAGAATCAAGACTCGTTTGATTAGGCTGTGTCATCTCCACACCTCAGATAAGTTAGCAGATATTTCACCAAGGGTTTGAGCAAATTCAGGCGGTTAGAATTGCTTGGCAAGATGGGAGTAATTGATGTATACTCTCCATCTTGTGGGGATTGAATGATCCACAAGGATCTGATGCTCGAAGAACAACAACAACTGCTGTTATACATAGCAGTCCTGGTCAACCTCGGATTGAAGATAGTCAACAGAGTCGAGGAGGACTGAAATGCAAGACATTGCAAGTTTGGAACTAGAGTGACATTTTATCACACGGTGTCGTTTCATTTATTTGATTCTTTGATATGTTAAACGCAGATTAGTTATTAATAAACGAATCCTGACAAGCCATGTGTCAGGCTCTGGTTTAAAGGATTCAAGTTAGCATTGTTGCTTAGCCGTTGTAATATCTTATCTTCTTCTTCTATAAATACAAAAATCTCAAAAGAGAGGACAATAGGTTTTCTACTGATCCTCCACCCCAATCCAGTTGTCTCTTTTCTTAGATGGAATGGATGTGGGTAAGGCTGGAAGTTTGGTACCGGTATTTGGGATATACCGAATACCGTACCGAATTTGTCTATCTTTGGTATTACCGAATACACGTATTATTTCATGGGATTGGGATTAGGATTGAATTTTAATTGTTATTCGGCATTAGGGATTACGGGATTGGGATCAGTATATACCGAAATACCGATCAATACCAAAATATAAGCTAGTGTGCATTTTATCCTATCAACTAGACTCAAGAGTGTCATTTAATTATACACATGTCATTCCATCACTATTAATAGTCGTCTATCAACCTTCAATTCGTCTAATTAAAGATTACCGGTGACAAGAACTTGAGATGTCTCGATCTCCTCCTCCATTCTCCTTAATAATATCATAATTCAAGACTCTTTGCTTAGTCCTTTTAGCCTAAATTAAACAATAAATATAATTTATATATTTAATTATTAATTGCAAAATTAATTAATTTTGTATTCGATAATACCGATTGGGATACCGGATTAGGATACCAAAATATTTAGGGATTGGGATTTGGATACCGAAATTATTTAGAGATTGAGATTGTAATTGAATTTAGGGTGTAATTCGGGGTTTGAGATTTCGATATTTGGCATTGGAATATCGATACCGTAACGATTTTCACTCCTAGCTGTGGGTGTGAGGAGATGGGGAAGATGGTAAGTTGACGATAGAGAAAGTGATGAAATTAATTACACCAGTTGTCCAATTTTAGGGATTTTGAAATAATGCAGAGAAAGGGAATAATTGAAACAGGAGAATAATTTAATAAGCCCAGGGGAGGGGAAGCTGCTTTAATAGAAACAGAATTTAACCAAATTTTGATACCAAAAAAGACATTAACCATGACATAGTAGAAGGCGCCCACGTTGAGAGGGAAATCAGAATATGACCCTAGAAGGATATATTAGAGAGGTCTGAGTAAAATCTCTAACTTTGTTCTTTGGAAAAGGAAATTAAATATGTTAAACCGGTTTATATCATTGTGTAAGTGTAGCAAGTAGTATTTTAATTGGTGGTACTACTGATTTAGTTATGTTCTTGTTAATTTAATAAAATATGACAAATATGAAAAATCATTAACATCCAAATGAATTTAAGCATATATAAAAATATATTTGAGAACAATTTACTTATAAACTATATTCATTAAAATAAATTACAACATTCGAAATAAAATAACAAATACTCATATTTAATACAATATTTATCGTCAGTATCCAATTTATATACTTGAATTCAACAAATAACATCAACATTTAAAGGCCGAGATTCTTTTATTTATAGGCCGAAAATCGATCATGTCTGTCATATCGTAGGTATTCAAACTTGGACCAAAATGAGTGCAAACTCAATACTTGCTCGCATTGGATTTTACGGGAGCTCATAATGACTAGTCTATAAAAGAGTTTAAGGTTGTAGTCTCCAATAAACAGAGACTGACATACACACATATTCTCCCCACCAGGAATATGTGAGGATTTCCCGTGCGGATCTAAAAAGGCTTGGTTCTGAAAGATCATAGAACCTCCTAGGTCATGAAATAAATCACAAAATAATATTTTCATCAATTAAATTCACTTAAACGTGATTCTTTTATTTATAGGCCGAAAATCGATCATGTCTGTCATATCGTAGGTATTCAAGCTTGGACCAAAATGAGTGCAAACTCAATACTTGCTCGCATTGGATTTTACGGGAGCTCATAATGACTAGTCTATAAAAGAGTTTAAGGTTGTAGTCTCCAATAAACAGAGACTGACATACACATATTCTCAGGAATATGTGAGGATTTCCCGTGCGGATCTAAAAAGGCTTGGTTCTGAAAGATCATAGAACCTCCTAGGTCATGCTCTTAAAAGTATCGTCCGACAAAAAATCGTCTTTCTGATTCCGCACCAAGACTTTGACGATCAACAACACAAATCCATGTATCTATTCAACTTTGATAATCTGGCAAGATGAAAGGGAATTGCATAATTTAAAGTTCAATTTCCTACATGTACTACTATAGATCATATCCATGCCAATGTCCAGATCGCGATGTGTCTTAAATCTTTAATTAGCCAAACCCCGCTCAACAGAAACAACTGCTCAGATCGATAATCCCATTCCCTTCACAAATCATTATCACCAAAGTTAGGCAAGTTGGGAAAAACTGTCCAGGAATATGATGCTCCAATCAACAGTACCATGGACCATGATAACTACATTACATGAAAGTCCAATAATGGATGCAAAATTTGTGGGTAAAACCACCAAAAGTGGTCTTCTTCAATGAGGCGTCAGAAATATATTATTTATAGGTGAGTCGATATCAACATATTAAAATGGTTACACGGAGTAGCTAATATGAATAGTAAATTTCGACCGGCCCGTATTGATAAGAAATAGATTGTCTATGATAGTCATTTTTAGCGGTTATACACTTCAATCTCAGTGGTATTATAGACGCACCCTCCCTTCGATTTAGGATCGGGTGCAGGGTCAGATCTAAGTGATGGGATTATTATTATTATTATTATTATTACTATTATTATTATTATTATTATTATTGTTTTACTTTGTTAGTCGATTTGTATCTCTTTTCGTTTTAACTCAAATTTTGATTTGTTTCCACATATGAAATGAATTCAATATGATCTAAAAACTGTATTCATTATCGATATATTTTGAGTAAATTTTTTATATCATTCGTTACCACTTTTGTTTTTGAAAAACATTTATTTAAAAAATCATTAAGTGCAAATAAATAAGAGAACTGAAAGTTAAGAACTTAAAGAAATAATGAATAAATGTACTACTAAAAAAAAAAGAAATAATGAATAAATGTGGTCTCATCCTTATAAATATCAACCCTCCTCTCACATCTCAAACTTTTTAATTTGGTGGTCTCGTCATTGTTGGTCTTGTTGCTCGATTCCATTTTGTATATGTCGGCTCAGATGGTACTAAGAAATAAAAATATCTGGAGAATCCCATACCACATATATTGTATTGTGTGTACGCTAAGTTTTTTTACCTGTACTTCTTTATTAGTCGTTTTGTATCTTATTTATTTTAACATGATCTACAAATATCTGGAAAACATTTAGGATCTATATCACTATAGAATATGATGGTAGACGTTGATGAAATGTGATAGATGATGGTTAGTATATTTTTATTAGATATACAATTATGCTACACTATGATATATTTATACGATCATAATTTAATCTTATGCACTACCAGGTGTTAACTTCATGGTATAGCAGAGTGGTGATATATGCCACAATTATTTTTTGTTTTTTTTTTTCAAAATATAACAAACTGAATTTCATTTTGAAGAGCACCATTAATACGATTTTTTTTCTTTAATTTTTTTATTTCATTAATTGAAGTAGAAAAAAATATAATTCATTAAATAAGAAAAAAGTTAGGCATTTGGATACATACCAAATCCGGAGCCCTATATTCCTAACAAGGTTTTTTTATTCTAATTAATATAAATTTAAGAACAATCATTATAATTGTGATATATATTAGGGCCAATACCACTAGGAAACCCGAACTATTAACTTTGTGCCATTTGTGTCCTAAAGTATTCGATATGACAATTGTGTACAAAACTATTTCTCCGTTAGAGTTGACCGACGTTGACCGTTAATTTTTAACAGAAAATCCATTAAGCGCTAATGTGGCAGCTGAAGTGGAATTTATAATACTAATTTATAACTATTTTTCATAAATAAAATAAAATTACAAAATTATAAAAATAAAAAACAAAAACAGATATGATTTGTGGTTGACAATCCCTTCCTCTTCTCCTTCTTCCTCCTCTTCCTTCTTAGGGATTGAAAAAACCAGGGGAACGGAAAACCCCTTCCGAAACCAAACAAAACAAAAATCACGCCTCGCAATCCCTAACTCTGCAGAGGTCAGCTCGTCGGGCGACGCAATTTTTGATGGCGACGTTGTTCATCGATTTGAGGAAGTCCCTTATCTCCGACGTGCATCCGAGTTGCGTCCCTCACCTGCTGCCGACTCATCCCTCACCTGCTACCAACTCATCCCTTCCCCGTTCAAGGCCTTCCCCTGCTTCAGAGCTTCCACGATTACTCCCGCCGCGAATTCCATTCGCTTCGCTGACCATCTGCTGTCCAGCGTCGCGATTACGGAGCTGAACTTCCTGCATCGATTATGTGCCTTCCTCGCCAACAGCGATGGATTCCTGATCAGAACCCTCAACAACGACGACGGAGTCGAGTTAACGCCGTTGGGGATCGATTCGTCTTCTTCTCGATTTCGGACTCCGGCCTCCCTGTTCATTTCGACTTCGACAAGCAAAAAAGGCAGATTTGCTTGCAATTAGGAGTAAGAGATATGGTCGGCGGTGACTACCCTTACAGTTCTTCAATTCAATCGCGAAGGGTTTTTCATGGAGAAGATCTGGTTATCCGATCTCGCGAGGCTCGAAGTTTGATTGGAAGTGAGATGGAATAGGTGGGGGAGCTAAAAAAGAGAGAGTAACAATGGATTCGGGGTTTGCAATGGTTTGTGATTTTGTGATTTGGGGTATGTAATCGGCGCTAGCTATTCTATATGGGGCGGAGAGTATGACGACGACGGAGGAAGCAGGATTGGATGTGGGAGAAGGGGGCGGTGGGGAGTGTAGCGGCGGCGATGGGGATGGGGATGATTTAGATAAACCCGCCCCAAATCCGTCCCATTGTCATTCCTAGTGCAGAGGGAGTAGGATGCGGTGGTGGGGAGTTTTCTTTACTTGTTTTTTATTTTAATTTTTAGGAACAATATTAATTAATTGAGTTTGCATTTTTTAAATTTTTATAACAATATTTTATTTTTGTAATTTTTAATTAAAAATATGAGGTGTCATTGACGTGACATCTACATGGCTACCACGTCAACAATAGTCAATGTTAATGTTGACTTCTGTTTGATCAACCGTTATCTATAACGGTCAACGAAATCGTCAGGACATAAATGACACACAACTATCATATGTTGTGACATAAATGTCATATCGAATACTTTAGGACACAAATGACACAAAGTTAATAGTTCGGGTTTCCCGGTGGTATTAGCCCTATATATTATTATTATTATTATTTAAAAATATAAAGTAAAAAATTACAAAATATCCAAATCAGCACAGGCAAAGATCTGTTGTAGAAAGTTATGAAAGAAATTTTTTCTTATGTAAAAGTAGCACTCATTCCATCTCGAAAATTGTTAGACCCCTCCTTAATTAATTGCCTAAGAATGCTTGTTTTAAGTGAACTTGACGCAAAAAAGTCCGTCCTTACCTAAAAGCTCTTGACATTTTTACAGAAAGAAATTGAATATGCACCTACTGAAAACACCCTAGCAAATACGCCACAATTAACCCCATGGAGCAAATAAGGTCAGCAGCATGTGGGTGGAACACACAGAGTTTGCATCCTTCTGGTCCAAACCTGTAGCAAATTAAACACCTCCCAATTCCCCTGCACAATCATTTATTGATCACTCAATTACACATTTAAACAAATCTCAAAACTAAGTGCCTTAGTTACTGGTAGCAAAGGGCGAGTAAATTATCTAGTATGTAAGTGAAGTGTTTGGATTTTACTCTAGCTCTAGATAATCTATATCTTGCTATTTTCATTAATAAATTAAACAACCCGAATGAAAAACCTATTATATAAGTGAAATATTATTATAAATAAAAATAAGAAATTGAAAGTTAAGAACAGAATTGTGGTCTCGTCTTCATAAAATATTAAGCCTCCTATACCATGTCAACATTCTTAATTTGGCGGTCCCATGATCAATTCGTGGATTGCAACATGAAAAAAAAACTCACCCACATGCGTCGGCACGGCACAACTGGGCTACTAAATGCATTAAACAAATATCTCTCATTACCACATATATTGTGTTTGTGTGCAAGTATAACCAATCATCCATCCCAAACACGCTTTCCTTTACAAAAACAAAACCAAAACCTTCACCATTTCCATCTATTCTGCCACAAACTAACTCCAACAGATCCCAAATATCTCTCTGTTGGGAAGCCGTGACATCGATCCGATGGGCTACTCCAACTTGCCCGGGGAAAACAATTCCGACGACTCGCATGAGCCGCTCATACTGCCGCAGAATATATGCAGGTAGATGTGACAATTTCAATCCAATCCACCAATCCTCTCCTTGTAAAATGTTATTTCGGCCCATAAGAAAATGTTATTTGGTTTCCTGTTGCAGCGAAACCATGGCTGCTCCGAGCTTAGAGACAGCTGACAATGATCATGGCCATCTGAAGAAGAAGAAGACAAACAAGTTTGCTTTCATCTGCGCAATTATGGTTTCCATGGCTGTCGCCTTGCTTGGTTATGGTCAGTATGCACTTCATTAATTATTAAAGCTCCATCAGTTTCCCGCCCGTAAAGTAGTGATCCCGTATAACTCAACTGTAATAATTAAGGTTGAAGTAATTAGCATACACCAAACCAAACGTACGATGGCTAGATTGAAACATGCATATGTACCAATCCATATGTGTTAATTAATCTAAAATCAGCACTCTTTAATTAATTAATTAATTACGAATTGAAATCAGACCTTGGAGTGATGAGTGGGGCGATCATCTACATCAAAGACGAATTCAGAATCTCCGACGTGCAAGTAGAAATATTGGTGGGAAGCATCAACATCTACTCCCTCTTCGGCTCCATCGCCGCCGGACGAACCTCCGACTGGATCGGCCGCCGCTACACCGTCGTCATAGCCGCCGCTTTTTTCTTTGCCGGGGCCCTCCTCATGGGGATCTCCACCAATTACACCTTCCTCATGATCGGCCGTTGCTTCGCCGGGATCGGCGTCGGTTTCGCACTCACGATTGCACCCATCTTTATATCCGAGTTGGCCCCGGCCTCCAACCGTGGATTCCTAACCACCTTTCCTGAGGTGAAGAGTCATTACAAATTATACAATATGCTTTTGTTGATTTTTTACTTTTTTATACATAAATTTCAATATTCGGTCAATTTTAAATAACATTGCCAAGAAAAGACGTTACATGTTTCATCATCACACGGTTAATCACAAGTTCGGGTGGGCACCACTTTAACTCCCACGTCAGCTCCAAGTTTTATATTAGATCAAATCTTTTTCTTTTTTCTTTTCTTTTTTATTTTTCATTATAGATATAACGGTTTATCTTTACATTCGTTTGGTACAACTTTACAAGTTGAAGTTGTATCATTAAATAAAAGTACAAGTTCAAGTTGTATCATAAAGAATATGTACAAAACAGTGTATGTACAATCTAAAACTGTACCATAACATTGAATGTACAATTTCAAGTTAAACCATAAAGGTAAAAACCTATAGCACCAATACTATATAGTGTTGTAAAATTCCTCTCTCTACATTCGTTTTATTAAATAAGAATGTAAACGCAACCAATTTTCATCTCTCACCAACCGCTCTCTTTTAATTGGTAGGAGTTCTGGTCATTAATTTTATGGCCTATAACAATGTAAAGATAAACCGTTTAAATTTAGATGTTTAAAAATTAGTGCGGCCTGGTAATTTTTGCGTGCCTCTCTCCTTTTATTCCATAGATTTCATATTATAATTTTTACCTTCAAAATCAGCTTTTCTAATTCTTATTTTTCTAATTGGTTATATCTCTTTCGTTTCAAAAAAATTTACAAGAAAAAATGCATTAATTATGATCGTCACAATTGTATTTATTTTGCTATATTCTGAACAACAAAAAATTAACTTTCAAAATATATGTTTATTGTCATCTTATCAACATCATACCACGATCTTGTAAGACTTCATATCATCTTCCCAATATGATATATATTACATTCTTATTGTTATAGTAAGACTTCATTATATTATCTTATCTATCATATCAAAACCTAACCATTATGGACAAACTTTATACTATTATCTTATGGTTATACTAAGATGGTATTACAATAATAAACTGAGGTGAAATTTGTATGCTCTGTACAAAGTATTAAAATTGATGTCATCATTTACAACACATACAGTTTTATTTTTCTACTCATATTTTTCTGGAATCTAAGTTGCGGCGAATGACATATATTTTGCTGAAAATTTTGTGAGAGATTGGAAAAGTCGACATCTGAGAATCCACACCAAATCTATTACAGCCTTCCAAAAAACTATGCTAACTAAAAAGAATCTCTGATTTCCCATATTACCCCTTATAATGTGCATCATTATATTAAGTCAATTTTTTGATTCACGAATCAATGGATAAGATTAGGTTATGAATTTCTACAAAACCATGGTTTTTGCATGAAATTCAATCCAACCAACTAATTTAGAAAAAAGTTCTCCTCTCTTCTCTAGAGACACATAAAGAAACTACATTCTTTTTTCCGTTTTTCACCCCTTAATCATTTGTATTGGCATAATTCAAAGAGCCACATGTAATTCTCGCCCGATTTTTGTTATAATTTTCTCAATCGCGACTTCTTTTGCATCCGCTCGACGCTTAACTTTTTTCGTATCGTAAATCATGTTGTTCCTGTCAGGTTTTTGGAAACATCGGAATTCTGCTTGGGTATGTCTCAAACTATGGATTCTCGAAGCTTCCAGCAAACCAAGGGTGGCGATTCATGCTGGGAATCGGGGCAGTTCCATCCGTCATCCTCGCCGCCGGTGCCTTAATCATGCCGGAATCTCCTCGATGGCTTGTAATGCAAGGCCGACTCGCAGAAGCCAAACGAGTATTGGACAAGATCTCAGACACCAAGGAGGAGTCACGACGCAGGCTAGACGATATCAAGGAAGCCGCCGACATCCCAAGAGACTGCAGCAACGATTACGACGTCGTTGCGGCCCCAAAACGAGGGGAAGGCGTATGGAAAGACCTTGTAATCCATCCCACCCGCCGCGTGCGCCACATTCTACTATGCGCCCTAGGGATCCACTTCTTCCAACAGGCCATCGGCTTCGACAGCGTCGTATTTTACAGCCCGAGAATTTTCGAGCAAGCAGGTGTCACATCGACCGATGACAAGCTCCTGGCCACAATCGGTGTGGGAGTGATGAAGACGGTTTTCATCCTGGTGGCGATGTTCCTCCTGGACAAGGTGGGCCGACGACCGTTACTTCTGACGAGCTACGTCGGGGTGATCGTCTCGTTGGTCACGCTCGCAACCAGCCTCACGGTCATCAATCAGGATCCGACCCGAAAGGTGCGGTGGGCGGTCAATTTGGCTGTGTGTATGGTGCTCTCGGGAGTGGCGTTTTTTTCGATTGGGGTGGGGCCTATCCCAATGGTTTACAGTGGGGAGATTTTCCCGCTTCGGTTGCGGGCGCAAGGGATCGGCCTGGGGATGGTGGTGAATCGGGTGATGAGTGGAGTGATATCGATGACCTTCTTGTCGCTCTGTAAGGCCATCACGATCGGAGGGGCGTTTTTCCTCTTCGCCGGGGTTTCGGTGGTCGGGTTCGTGTTCACTTTCCTTTTTTACCCCGAGACGCAAGGGAAGACGCTCGAGGAGGTTGATGGGCTTTTCGGAAGTTTCGTTCATTGGAGATCGATCGGCTGATTTTTTTAAGGGTGGAAAAGAGGAGGAGGTGGATGCATGAAGGGGAGATATAGGGAGCTTAAAATAAATCATTCAAGAAATATCGAGATTTTTTTTTTTACATGTATGAATTTTAATTTTTTCAAGTGGTTTGTAATATTTTCCTTGAATCTAAGTTTATTGGAGTATGAAAGAATTATTATGATTCTGAAATATGGGTCTAGGTCGAGTCGTCTTTGCGACGCGCAAACGCCGTGTGGAATTATGTTAACTTGTATTATTCTGCACGATATGATAGCGGAAGATGAAGGGATTTACATCGCAATGCAAAGAACAACGGTAAGGAATGCAGATGGCATCGCCTAGGAGAAAGAATTGGGCAGGAGCAGTGCCCATTTCAGACCAGCAGGAAGTCGTTTCACCACCTAATAATAACACTATGAAAAAACGGTAGAGGGTTGCACTTTCTTTAAACAAAAATGCATGGCTGACAACATTTCCAGTTGAAAAGCCAGTGGTGCACGAATCTGTAGTTGGACTTTGATGGTTTTGGTAGATGAAAAATATTGCCGAAAATATCAATTCCATGCATTAATCATTAACCATTGCCGTCGTTGTAGCATGTGCCGAGACACGGCACTACCACTGACCTATAGTAAATGCACAATCGTACAAGGTAGAACACCAACAAAAAAAAAAAAAAAAAAAAACAGATCTCCCGTTTCTACTCTTCTGCGGCAGCTCAACTACTCCAAAACAAAAACCAATCATCGATCAAACCACAGTTTCCTTCAATTTACGAAACAAAACCCAATCAATATTTTATCAGAAGCTTGTTTAAAGGTTTGAGGTCGAATGTTTGATTCCGATCGAGGGCTATGTTGTTGTGATTGCTTGTGGGGGTGATGAATTGATTTACGGGATCCGAATCTAGCTAGCTAGGACCTCCCATTCTTATTTTTTTGCTCTGTTTATAGCTAGCCAGCTAGCTGTGTACGTAGAGGTGTTGGTTGATGGGGTTTGGAGCGGGCAGAACCGCGGATTATAAAATATTTGGGTTCAAAATTTACAATTCTTAATTTTCTATAGCGCAAATTATGTTGGCAAGAATTAATTGAATCAATTGTTTGGTTCATAATAAATTTAAAGTTGCTCTCAAGAGATGGGAAATATGGTCAAATATCATTTGATTGAACTCCACTGCAATATTTTATTTTATTTTCATGCAAAAGCAAGTTTGAGATAAGAAACCCAATCTTTCACTAAAGGCTTCTAATAATTGTCCGAAAATAGGAGATGTGATCTATTACTTCTTAGCATGGAGAGCAACTCATGGTGTTCAAAGATCTCAACTAGCTGCGGAGGAAGCTTCTTTTAGAGTTTAATTTGGAAATCCAGAAACTTTGGGGATGAAGAGGAAGACGGTGGAATTGGTGGAAATAATTGGGAAAGATGATGAGTTGATGTCACAGAGAAAAAGCGGCGAAATTAATTAGAACAGGGTGCATTTTTAGGGATTTTAAATAATGCAGAGAAAGGGAATAGTTGAAGAAGGAGAAGTCCACATTTGGGGGGAAATGTTGCTTTAATAGAAACAGAATTCAACCAAAACTTCGATACCAAAAAAACAAAATAACCATGACATAATAATAGGATCCACGTTGAGATGGAAATCAGAATCGACAATAGAACAATAATTTAGAGACGCCTGAAATAAGTAAGGTCTCCAACTTGGTTCTTTGTCCAAGTTCGAAATAAATACGTATTGATTAAGAATAGTGGGGAATTGAAAAAGAAGTGAAAGCGTGTTAGGTGAAAGGTGATACGAATTAATTGGAATTTGGAAGACTGAAAAAAAATAAAAAGAAAATTGTTAAATAAAAACAAATTCCTATATCAATTTAGATCATTGGATCTACAAAAAATAAAAAAATAATAAAAATAACGTGTTAATAAAAAATTGATTGGTGGTGAGATTGCTTAGGTGAATGCAATATCTGAAAATTTAAAATGATCAAGTGTGAATGAAGAAAATATTTATTTTATAAATAAATAGACGTTATTGCTAAGCTCTCAAAATATAATTATCGAAGAATAATCGCTCTCCCTCTCTGGCTCTCTCGCTCCAAGAATCAATCAGCTAAGTTTTACTATAATAAACTTCTGAATTCCTAACTAGGCAGGCGTGTTTTCCAGCATTAAAGTTTTATTCACAAAATATCAAAATCGAACCAAAACACAAACTGGTATAGGAAACGGTTCGCACTTTATTGATCTAACCTGTGTTAAGTCGTTAATAAACCGTTAACTTATAAACACAAATATTATAAATAGACACATGATTACACATCCAACGTTCTAAATCAAAACACATATATGAATGTTAAACAATAATTTCCAACTATAAAACACCCAAATTTGTTAGTAACAGGAAAGGTGATGATCAAGCTCTAACGTTACTGTGAATGAATTATGGGAAAAACAAAACTTAATGGGTTGCGTAGTGGATCCAATAGGCAGTGAAAATTAGCTAAAACTGAAGCATTGCAAAAAATGCCAAACCCCCGCGCAGTGAAAAGTCAAAAGTGAAAACAGTTACCCGCCTCGACTTTGATAACAGTGCAAAATATACTCACAGACCAATTCATCTGAAAATTGAATAAATTCACATATTCTAATTCAGGGTGAAATCATTTGAAAAAAGGGCTGACCATAGTAATTATTGTAGTAGATGGGTTGACCATACTAATTATACCAATATGCGAGATAATTTCAACATATTAGTAAATTAAACATGCTACCAACCTCCATTATCTGTTAGTAATTCTGTGCATATCATCTCGATCCGATCACGTAATCCGAAATACCTATTAACATCAGAAAGTCCATCCAAACTCGATTCCATCCTCCTATAATATATAACAGTTCTTTGGTTGATTTTCCCCATTTTGAAATCCTTGGCTTCTCCTTCATTCTCACTAGGGGAAATTGAGGAAACTACATTGTGTTTTAATTACCCCTTATTTTATTAGTCGGAAAAGCCACTTCGTCAAGTCCCCGAAACCGCTCAATGTCCCATCGTCCTCACCTCATACCACCGATCCGCAACCGCTCATATTCCCTTCTTCCCAACCTCATACCAGCGACGCATTCTGCCGGTGCCGATTCTCCACCATCTTCGACTCAGCCACGCTTAATCCCCAACCACCGACTTTTTCCGCGACGAGAAGCCATCTCACTCCTCTCCTCGCCCTCTTAAACCCTATTCCACCCAAACTGTAATCAATTAGTGGCTGGCGAATCTCATATATCTCGGATGTCGGATCTAGGTTAGCACCCCTGCGAAGCCATCACATATCTACTTCCCTGCAAAATCGAAACACGGTTTGTACCCCTCTTCCTCTTTGTTTTCCGTCTTTTTAATCTTGGGGTTTTGATCACCCATGCGACATGTGCTCTATTTTATGGCTTTGATGGGTTATTGGCTGTATGAAATCAAGAAGATTAAATTACCTTTCATTTAGGTCAGTGGTGGCTTGCTGAAATGCTGTTCTTTTTAGTTTCAAGGATTCAATAACAATATCAAATCCAAGTTGAAACTGCAGAGATATATGGAACAAGATCAGGCCAATGGAATGATGTATATTTTCCCAGTGCTTTGTAGATTGATGAACATTATGCATCTCATTTGCTGTATACATTCCAATTTAGGAAGTCTTCACGCATTGACTCCAGTTTCTCTGCTGAAACACAAGGCCAAAGTACTTCTGACTTTCAATCATTGTGGCTTGAATGTGATTGGATGCATTTGATTTGTAGTCTTCACTTACCTATAATGGGTTTCAAATCATAGGAGTAACCTATATTGGTTGAGTAGTTAGATCAACATGAACCTATATTTGTAGTCATATAATAGGTTGCATATGCAGAAGGTAATAGCATAAGTTGATAAAATTGGACTTGGCTGCTCATTAGTTTGGTAATCAACTATAAATAGTCTTTGTTTCAGGTTGTATCTACGGGTATTGCTCCCGGATCTGACTGCTTTCAATTCCCAGTTGTTAATCTTAGTTAGATTTTTAGTTTATGTGTTTTTCACAGGATACAGATCAAGGAAGGAGAAAAATGGTTTCGAACAGTTGATTCAGCTTACAGAAAAATGTTTTTTTGAATCGTACTTTGTCTTTTCTTTTCCATCTCAATCTGAGGTTTTTGGATCTCATTTTTCATTAGAACTCCCTGCCTTTTTCAGTGATTGTGTATGCATTCAAGTATGTGTCATTTATGACCAAATTGACAGTTAAGAGGCGGTCAATGATAAACCTATTTTGCAAATTCTGTTTCTTACTAGGGATGAGCAACTAGAACAACCTATCTTTGTTTAAAAGCCACAACCCATTGACATTCCTGTGGTTTCCCTTGCTGAGATTCTTGGATTTCAAACTTACCCAGTCCATGAGGTGCCCTGTTAATGGTTATCTCAAATTTTAATAACGGGTATGAAATAGATTATCTAATTTGTAATTGTGTCTTCTTTGTATATCCTTTGAAATTATTACTATGAACAGTTTTGTATTGGTTTTCAGGAGTGTTTGATCAATCAGCTTTGCATGGAAATGCACCGGCCAATGCAAGTAGGGAATTCGTATGTTCATTTGCTTCGTGTACTCTTTGTAAAAGTAGTATCAAGTAGACCATATGACTCCATCTCCCACAAACATGTATTCTGAATGGTTCACGTTAATTGATCTGGGAGTCTTGTGGTTTGATGAAACCAAACTTATTTAACAATCTATTGTCTTCCATGTCTGTTATTATGAACTTTATGTATATGTGTACATGATTTCAAGAATTAGTGGCGCAAGATAGATGCTTATGTTTGTTATTTATGAAATTGTGTTTAGCTATATGTATGCTAAAACTCGAATAAATTTTTGTTATCTGTTATGGCAGGGTGTTGCTTCATAGCTTTTGCTTTGGGTGTGTTGTACGAATTTGATTGTCTGACGTACTTGCACTCGAGATTATTATATTGGATCAGTTAGTCAATATTTGTTCTATGCCTTCCTGTGAATTTGAAGTGGGGGAGTCATCCACTCCTCGGCCAAGTTCCAT